AAGTAAATGCCAGATTTAGCAAAGTATAAAATAAATCATTGTGTACTTTATTCTAGGTTTAATAAGATTGTTGTAAGCATAGTTGTTAATATGCTATATCTAGGGCCTGGTGTGTGTCATAATCAGATATTCCATCATTTTTTTTAAAGATCTTTTTCAATTCTGTGATATTTGGAAATCTTTTTGGGGTATTTTCTTTCAATACTCAAAACTTACAGAATGATATTTCTGCAGAGCCTAATGAAGTGGTCTGCAGATTTGTAGACCATATTTTGACAATGCCATCATACCTTATCTGTTCCCTGATTTCCATGATTATAAGTAACCTGGTTTCATTTATATGCTAGAAAAATATTTTCTAAATCATACTTTATTATATAAGCATAAAGATCTGTTTGGTCTTCCTTGTGTTGTTCTGCTTTAGTTATTTTAATCTTTTTTTTAGAATTGCTCAAAACTAATGAAAATGTAAATATTGTGCAAACCTTTTATTCCTGAAAGATGTTTAGGCATTTCTTATCAAGAAATAACACTAATGTCTACTAATTTATAGAACATAAAGAAAATTTATTTAAATGTATTGAACATATCTACATTTAATTGGCTCAGATTTTAAAAGCATTTAAATTTTATAAGCACATGTAGGATTATTTTAATAGCAATAAATCATGTTTAATTAAATAACCAAAATACATACTTTATTACTCACCTGCTTTAGAGTAAAATATTTACAATCATAATAAAAAGAAATGAAAAAAAAATTTTTTTTTTTTTTTGAGACAGTGTCTCACTTTGTTGCCTAGGCTAGAGTGAGTGCCGTGGCGTCAGCCTGGCTCACAGCAACCTCAAACTCCTGGGCTCAAGCAATCCTGCTGCCTCAGCCTCCCAAGTAGCTGGGACTACAGGCATGCGCCACCATGCCCGGCTAATTTTTCTATATATATCAGTTGGCCAATTAATTTCTTTCTATTTTAGTAGAGACGGGGTCTCATCTTGCTCAGGCTGGTTTCGAACTCCTGACCTCGAGCAATCCGCCCGCCTCGGCCTCCCAGAGAGCTAGGATTACAGGCGTGAGCCACCGAGCCCGGCCGAAAAAAATAATTTTTCCAATATAACTTTCTGGGACAGAGCAATATTGAAAATGTAGACCACTGTATATTCTATAATGCATGCCTTCTATTTCTTTGTAAACCACCGCCACCACCTTGACACTTTTACCTGCTATTGGGAGTTTTCTCCTGCTTGGCTCAGACCGTTCTCTTATCCTCCAAGCTTTCATTCCTAGCCCTTCTGTACACTGGGATCAACTATTTCTAAGTAATATGCTTTCATTGAGGCAATAACCTAAAATTATATTTGTGAAATACTGATGGCATCTGAAAATAACATATTTACATCCTGATAATGCCAGTGTCCCTGCTAATATAGCCAACTCTTTGTAGTACAGGGTCTGATAATCTAGGTTGTGGTTTATCACATATTTTGTTTTGATCCTTCTGGGGCATTTTAGTACTTGTAGGAGCTCTATAAGAGAGGAAAGCCACCAGAGCACTTAGATCATCCATTTTGTTGTTTTCATACCCTAAATAGTATATTTTCATTAAGAATGGAAAATAATGAATATACTGTATTGTGGATTATCTGGTTTATTGGCCCTGTATCTGCCTTGAACTCCTACATGTACATATACTGTAACTGACTGCATGTTAAAAATATAAACATTTGGGTTGTCATTTGCATGTTTCTAGACACTAATGGTATTTTCTGTTTCGTTCTAGTAATTTGCCTAGTGGGATTAGGCCTGGTGGTATTTTTCTTCAGTTTTCTACTTTCAATATTTCGTTCCAAGTACCATGGCTATCCTTACAGGTAATATCTTTATACTAATGTGAATGTTTAGAGTAAATGGAATTTCAGAGGTTATAATATATAAGGTACCTAACTCGATTTGCTGTGTTTTTAAATTCACTCAAACAAGTTTTGAGCACCTGCCATGTGTCTAGCATAGTGGACTTATACAAAGGAGATATACGGCATCAAGGTATCATTTCATTTTATAGAATATGTAATATATATATATTTGAGTTTTAAACTTTATGGACTTCATCAAAATTTCTTGTTCTCTTTGTCTAATCATCGTGATTTGATTTACAAAATAGTTTTCTCATAATAATCTGGTCATTTTCTTTTGAATTCTGTAAAATTTTCATTTTCAACATAAAATGATCACTAGATGTCGTCATGAGTATCTTATAAGATTTTCACCAATATATTGTCATAACTGGAGATGGAAAGATGTTGAAAATTTATTCTGAGACATTACCAAATCTAGACTTTCACTGAAGCACCCTACAGTGGATGTGCTATAGTTGTTAGATTTAATAATCAGACATGTTTACTTCCTAAACTTACTTCTCTTAGGTTGTATTAAAGAAATAATTACTTCATTTTCTTTCTCTAATGAAAGAGTGAAAAGGCCTATATTTCCTTTTTGATGGGGTTGATTTTTTTCTTACTGCTTTTCCTGAGTTGTATATAGATAACTATCAGCCTTTCATCAATGATGTAACATGCAAATATTTTCTCCTGTTCTGTAGGTTGTCTGTTTGATTGGCTGTGCAGAAGCTTTTTAGTTTTTTCAGGTCCCATATATTTATTTGTATTGTTGCTGTGATTGCCTTTGGGATCTTTTCCATAAATTCTTTGCCTAAGCCAATGTCTGTAAGAATTTTTCTAACATGTTCTTCTAGAATTATGATAGTTTCATGTCTTAGCATCCATACCTCTCACAAAAATCAACTCAGGTTTAAACCTGTTTGTCTTCATGTGGCTATCCCATTTTTCCAGCACCATTTATTGAATAGGGATTCTTTTCCCCATTGTATGTTTTTGTCAGCTTTGTCAAAGATTCAGTTCTGTTCCATTGATCTATGTTCTTGTGCCAGTACTCTGGTAACTTGATGTCTCCAGTTCTTTTTGCTTAAGATGGCTTTTGCTATATGGGGTCTTCTCTCGTTCCATAGGAAGCATAGAATGATTTTTTCTAGATCTGCAAAAAATGATGTTATAATGGGGATTACGTTGAATTTGCAGATCACTTTGTGTAGTATCGACCTTGTAACAATGTCGATTCTGGCCACCCATGAGCATGGTATGGTTTTGCACCTATTTATATCCTTGGCTGTTTCCTTCCTCAGTGTTTCTTAGTTTTCCCTGTAGAGGTCCTTTTACCTCCTTAGTTAAATATATGCCTAGGTATTTTATTTTCTCTGTTGCTACTGGGAAGGGTATGGAGTCTGTGATTTCGTTCTCAGAGATGAGAGATTTAGTTAATAGTCAAACCGATGTTTTTATTATTTCTTTCTATCATATCTGAATTGCATGACTTAATTATCCAGCTATTCCATTGTCCAATTTAAATAATTACTCTAATTATCTCTTCCCATATCACATTAAAGTCTTCCAATATTTCTCTTCGGCCCTTTTGAGAATTTTCATTTAGCTGTTTTCCTACATTCTTCCATTTCTATGGTGAATTATTCACCAGGCTTCCAGAAATCTGTACAGTATTCATAGATTTCCCTTCATAACATTTATAGTATCCATATGAAACAACCAAATACTGTAAGGGAAACATGAACAAAAAAAGTTACCAACTTGTATATATACTAAAATTACCTTAGTAATGGTCTGCATGGCCTTGGGTTTTATTTTAGTCCATTATATCATTTTCCTTCTAACTTCCTCAGAAATTTTATCAACTCTTCTTGTGAATGATTCTGGTAATAAGATGATAAACATCAAGAACAAAGTAGAGAGTTGGACAAATCCTGAACTAAATCTAAAAACCTATCAGTACATGGAAAAAAATATCTATTCAATTAGTTCACTGGAGAAAGGAGATGGTAAAAGGAAGAGAGAATAAATGAAAGATGGAGACAGGTGAGATACTTCCCCCCCATCCTGTGGGAGAAGCTTGGTCAATTATGAACATAGCACTACATGGTTAAGGAATATTTTGTATTCCCAGGGGCAGCAGCATTATATTACCTCATTTTAAGAGTTGATCAGATAAAGGCAGTTTGTAGAGAATGTGATGCAGGAAACCATCGGAAAACCCACAAATCATACTCCAGAAGGTATTTCCTGGCCTTGAGTACTTCTGAAAAGACATGTCTAGATGTCCATTTTCAAAAATTATTAGCCCCTATAAATAGTGAATCGTAAACCCTAGGGACCAACAGCTAAACCAGTAGTGACAGAAATACATTTAAGTAGGCTTACAGAGGGGGAGAAAAATAGTTCATCAAAGCTGCATCCTTGACTTCCCCGATTTTAACAAGGTATTTAAAAAGATTGCAAGGACACATGTGCATTTTTCTTAGGTTTCCTCGAGAGCTACTAAACTAAGAGCTATCTTTTACTTCTATCTACTTTAAATAATACCTGTACTTTGGATGAAACTCTTGAGATATTTAGTGAAAGAGCATATTTCAACATAATACCATGTGCTACTTTTAAAAAATTGGTATTGGAACCTAAAGCCTACCCCTAAAGTACTTTTTGGGGTATTAAGCCTCTACATCTTCCTGTTGAATTTCTGTGAATTGTAACTTGTGTACCACTAACGTACAGAACTATATTCATAATTGTACACAGAATTATACCCGCAACTGAATATTGTTTAAAGCCTCATAAAAACTTAAACATATATATGCCCTTCATATTTTCTCAGTAATTTAAAATTGCTCTTTTCTTTGGTATATATGATATATGTACCTTCTAAAATCTATTGGAAAATTTTCTAACTCTTTAATCTTCCCCAAATTTTAGTCTCAGTGGTATGTTCTATGGTAGGAATCTGTTTCATACCACCACTGTATTTTCTGTTATTTTGAGGTTTTTGTTTTTTTTTTTTAGTTCTCGAGATAATTTCTATTTTTAGTAGAGACGGGTCTCGCTTTTACTCAGGCTGCTCTCAAACTCCTGACTTCCAGTGATCCTCCCACCTTGGCCTCTCATAGTGTTAGGATTACTGGCATGAGCCACCACACCCTGCCTTCTTTTAAGTTTTAATAAGCAAACTTCCCTGATAGGAATCCCAAGTCTGCTTATAACTAGATGTGTCACCTAAGGCAAGTTACTTAACTTTTCTAAACCTAGGTTTTCTCATTTGTAAATAGAGATGATTTGTCAGACCTTATTTAACTATTGTAAAGAGTACATGAGAGAATGCATGTAAATCATTCTCCCAGCATCACTTAGCAAATTGCCCGATACATAGTATTACTCAATAAATGTTTGGTGCTAATTATCATCATTAATTCTGATAAATATTTTAAACTCATTTATATTTAATCTACTTTTTCTAAGGAGCTTTGTTTTATATTTGTATAATTCAGTTCAGTGAAAAACAGATGGTTCCTGAGTCTCTTGAAACTACCAGTAAAATTTCAGGATTATGAATTTGACCTAATTAACATCGGAGCCATAGTTCAGAATAAGTATTATTCCAGTGGAAACACTGAATTAATTTTGTATATTAAATAAACTTTAGTGCTTGCCCCATTTTCTAATAAAAGCAATGTGCTAGTAGGGATATATGATAGACTTTACTTACGGGTAATTACCTTCTCAGTATTTTCTACTGGCACTCTTTACTTGCAAAAATTTTGTTTAGAAGACATCTATGGCACATCAAATCTGTTTTATAACATAAAATTAACGGAAAATGTCTCATTTTAACACTTTGATTCCCAACTATTCAGAAGATTATTCTGAGAGAGGTTGTATGGAAAAATAACAATAATTAGAAGTATTACAGAAGACCTGAGTTCAATTTTGTACATTTGGGAGTTAGTCACTTCGGAGTCTTATTTTTCTTCACCTCCAAAATAATGTTTTTATGGGGTTGGAACAAGACTCAGTTGTTACAAGTGTCTATATTTTCAAAACATACAGAAATAATAAGACTGTTTCTGCAAACTTGGTATAATACAATAAATCTCAGATTTTTATGGGTATAAAATATATGATCCCTGAAATGTCGTGGCCTCTCAATAAAAACACTTCACCTACCTCTCTTTCACCTGTACTAGCCATTATTGCCCTTGATTATTCAGTGGTACTTTACTTTGTTACATTTTTCATTAAGTATTCATACACATCTGCTGTTTGAGTCCTTTTCCTGCTGGAAGATTGTTAGGTATTTGGGTCCATGACAAATACCTTTTTTATATCTCCAAAGTGCTATGCATATAGTAGGTGCTCATCATATACTTATTAAATGAATCTATTTATTCAAACTTTATTCCTTATCTACTTTCATTAAAGGCACCATTAAAATAGAAATATAAGGAAGTGAAGAGTACTGGTGTGCCACATTGCACAACTCTAAAAGATGCAATTTACGTCGAATGACACCCTCTGGCATTAACTACTGCAACTCCAGATTGATTCTGAACTGGCTGGTGTCAAGTAAACAGAATATATATCAATTAAGCTTACAATGGACACAAAGTGCCTTCCATTGTCTTATGTAAAACTTAGAGTTCATGCTGATTTTGAGAGATTATGAAGAAAATGGAATGGCATTCAATAAGGAAAAGTATCCAATAACAGGTAGAAATGAAAGGCATTATATACATTTTGAGAAACGTTTGATAGACAAGCAAAGCAAAAACATTTATTGTATACAGTGTATAGCAATATCACATTTACTTGTACCCCTTAGATGTTCATCTTTTACCTAGAGGGAAAATAAAAACAAGCTGTACAAATAATGTGGTGATCAGCCTACAATACATACCATTGGCAAGATTGTCACTGGTGTTGCCTTTCTCATGCTGAATCCCAGCTTTGAAGACTTGCTAGTACGGGGGTCCAAAATTTACAGATGATTCAGAGAAAAGCTGGCGTGCTAGAAAGGCGCCATTGTCGATTCCCTGTCTTTATCTACATAAAGAATGTAGTGCTAAATCTTGTAATAATATTGTACAAATGGAAATCAAATCTTAAGGATTATTTCTTCCATATTGTTGTATTTCATTGTGGTGTATTGGAAAGTGATCTGGACTTTGAGTGAGAAGATGTGATTTGGACCCATGGCACTTAAAAACTCTATAACCTCAGGCAAGTCTTTTAATCTTCTCTGAGCCTCAGTTTCCCTCATCTTTCAAATAAAGATACTATTTTATAAGTAAAACAGATTACAGTAAACTGCTTTGCTAATTGTAAGACGACTTTGAGTTAACCATTTGACACACATAGGTATCATTATTTTATCTGGAGGGCACAGGTATGTTCATAGTATAATTCCTTGGTTTGTTTAGGGAAGAAAAGCCAAAACAAAACAATCAACAGAAATATATTTAATTTTGCCTAGGAAAAATATATTCAATCCCTTGAATATTAATATAAACTTTAATGAAACAATATAAGTCTTCCAAACTGTTGATTTAAAAAATAGTTTTGGTAAGTTAACATTTGAAAGTTTCAAAATCAAAAGTAATTTCTTATAGAAAATTCCAAAGGAACATAGAGTCTAAGACAACATACACATTAAAGATAGCCCGAGAGTGTTATTTCCATCACACCATTTGGCAACCCACTGAAAGCAGCAAAGGAGTAGAACGCTTCTATGGCCCCAAAGAATTCTTTGTTTTTCATCTATCCCTTACCTCACATACTAGCTTCATTGTTCTTTTCTCCCAGACCTCGTATCCATATTTCTGGGCATGACTTATTAGTCGTATCATCCACATATGCAACTAAGTGTGTCTCTCTGTGCAGACGGTGGAGAGAACTGGCCTTAGCACTGGTATATTCCACAGCTATTACCTTGTGAGATTGTAGATATAGAAAGGTTTCCATTCCCAAGTATTGTTTTCTTTTCCTACTCTTCATAAAGGCCTAAATTTCTTTAGGACTTAAAGACTTTTCTGGATTCAGTAATCTGTTACACAGAAGAGAGCTCCAGAACTTTTACTTAAAGAGGGCTAACATCCATACTACACTTTTTTTCCGCCTTTGACCAATTAATCTTTAATACCTTCCCACTCACGAACCTTGGTTGATACCATGATAAGAGAAAATGACTTTTGAATTAGTTCATTGACGATGAAGTCTTCTAAGGAAACAGTGTTTTTATAAACACACAGATACACGTACACACACCCACTCAACTGCACAGGCAAACGGTGCCTCCCTTGGCACATGCATCCACACCAGTCTGTATATTCCCGGAACGCAGACGACTGTATGAGGAACATGGTGCATGTGCAAGGGCTGTCATGTACCCAATTGTGCACAGACAGCAAAAACAAAACCAACCACCACAACAAAAACACCACCAAACCCTCAGATGGGACTCTTAAATTTGGAAGGACAAAGACTTAGCAATAAAAGAATATTAGTTTCTATGCATTGAATGCTCAAAATTTTGTTAAGCACTTTACAAATAGTGTCTCATGTAATCTTCATAACAACCCTATGAAACAGATATCAGCACCCCAATTTGTGCACATCAGAGTTTAGAAGCCTTTTGATACAGGTTGCCAAGGTCACAGAAGCAAACACTGAGTTACCAGTGCTGTACTTCTTTCTAGCATTTCCACAGAACACTTAGGAAGGTATAGCAAAGGTTAAACAAAATTATAGGAATCAGTGAGTTGCATTCATCACAAGGCCAATGGCATAGGCATGAAAATTCATTCAGTGACCTATCTGTGTTTAGTGAAGACGACAAACCTTTCTTTTATCCTGCACTTTTTTTGGATACCAAAATGGAACCTGAGCAGCTGCCCCTTAGCCACATAAGTGATGTCTGAGAGAGAGAGAGCACCATTAAGGTCTCCTCCTTTCCTTAGTCTGAAAACAGGTAATGAAAGCAGTGCATAAGAAAATTCTGTCCAGCTGAAGATCTCAGAGAATTTCACCAACTCCCAATGGGACAGAATACATTCATTCAAGAACACTGTGTACATTCCAGTTTTTCAAAACACTAGGAACAGATGGAATAATTCACGAAAAGTAAAAACTGAAAATGAACAGCAAACCACTGTTTGGTTCCTGGTCAGGTATTTCCCAGGAAAGGAACAAATGTAATTTTAATAGATCCCTGGTCCCTAGTGACCAAATCCAGATTTTTCTTCGTGTGACCTTTCTAGCCTTTTACCGGACAAGCCCCCCTTTGAAACTTTACACCTGGATTTGATAACGTGACACTCTTTTGCTTTCCTTTTTTCTTTTAGATTACTTCTCAATCCCAAATATACATAGGAAATCCTGACCTTTGTCCTGATTATCCAGAACTAGACCTGAATCCCACATTAACACCTCACCCTCTCATGTCTAAAAGCTGTGTCATCTCTGCTTTCAAACCTGTTTACCCCTTCTGCCCATTTTCCCTAAGACACTGCCACTCTCAGTCTTTCAGGATAGAAATCTTGCAGTTATTTTGCGCTCATCCCACGTCCTCATCCTCTATTTTGTTAATTTGGGTTTTGTCTATCACTTTTCTGTTCCCACAGTAGTTTTAAGTACACTGTATCCTGTTTAGACTATTATCTAGCCTCCTAATTTATCTCCCAACATCTAGTGATTATCTTCCATAATCCATCACTTATTCTAGGGTAATACCAGAATTATTTCACGATGTGCACTGATAATGTTGCTTCTCCGTCCAAGTCCATTGATAGCTAACACAAAGAGTATATGCGTTAATATATGTTCATTGTAGGAGATATAGGCAAGGACAATGAATAAACTGTCTTCATGATCCCAACACCCAGGTTATCAAATGTCAGCAGTTTAGAGTGCAAATATTTTAAAACTAGACAAGGATTATAGAATACGTATTTTGTAAGCTGCTTTTGGTTCATAGGTCCTGAGCATATTTCAATGCCATTAACTATTCTTCTAAAATACATGTGATTTTACTGGGTATATAATATCATCGTATGAATCACCACAAAAAGGTATTTTAAATTTCATTCAATCTATCCTTTCTCATGGTATAGCCTTCAGTGTACCCTGTGGTTTCATACAGGATTTAGGAATTGCTGCCTATTTTGGCATGCCCCACAGATTAGTACTCTTTTTTATGGTTTTAAATTATTGAATAAAACAAAGTGTAATATTTTGTGACATGTGATAATCACATGAAATGTAAATTTCAATGTCTATAGCTCCCTCTGCATTACAGCAGTTTAGAGTTTCAGCAAAGACCTATGGCCCACAAAGTTTTAAATATTTACCTCTCACTTATAGCAAGTATGCCAATTCCTGGTTTATGCATACTGAACACAGCACTGAACGTATTTTCATACTTGGCACCTTTCCTCATGTAGCTCCTTTAGTCTGCTATCTCTTCATTTTACTTATTCTCAGAGTGTTACTTCATTTGTTTGTGAATTTCTGTAATAATTTGAATCACCATTAAACCATATGTGTCACCATGTTATACTTAGTTGTACCGGAGCTTTCTCTCCTGTAGATAAAAAATAGGGACCATGACTTTGACATTGTATTTCCTGCAACCCCATCTATACACAATATTCTTGTATGTAATACATGGTCAGTAATTCTTTCTTGACTGCTGATTGAAACTGACCTTTTGTGGGTCTGAATTTGAGAAAGTTGAATCATGTTTTTCTAGAATACCTTATATTTTGCATTTCCAATCATAAACTTGCTAATGATCTTTTGGAATATCATTTCTCAGCAAGTCAAGGACAGCATTTTTATCTAAGTTCCACATGTTTGCCAATTTGAGGGAGTAATGAGGGGAGCCAGCCTTAAAGAGAGAAATGGTTTGAGATTTTACCCATCCCTTCTTTTTATACAGTGTCTCTTTGCATCTATGCTATACTTTAAACAACAGTCAAGTTGTACAGACTAGAAGGGAATAGTTGTGTACCTTAGGCTAGGGGAAAAGGAGTGTTGGGAACATACTTGTGCTGGTCCTGGACTGCTATCTACCCTCATGTACAATTGCCTGCTCTTGCCAGCTACCTTCCACCTTATGTTGCTACCAGAGTTACAGTCGACCATGCGTGTATTCACCTCAGAATACCCCAGCCAGGGTAGTTAATTAATGTGTTGCACATGCAGACTACTGCTAACTACAGTGAGATTCATTCATGACAGAGTGTAGTCCAGACAAAAGTTGATGGTTTTGTCCAAGGCAGATCCTTGCTATCTCAGGAAATACACTGCAACACTAAAAAACACAAATAAGAAGACTATGTTGTTTTTACTATTCTTGACAGTTTAAGTATGATACAAAACCATTTTTATATACTTTTGTGATAAGCATTAGAAAAATAATACCCAAGCACTGTTGGAACCACAAAGCTACAAAAACCTAGTTATTCTGTTATACATGTCAGACATTGATAGATAGAAGTGAGAGACTAATCCCTTGAGTGTTACTATCAATATATAACATTCATGTTGGAACATACCTCAGACATTTAATATTTATATAATGAAAATAAAAGTCAAATATGAAATACTGAATGATTATATACGGAATAACAGTTCATCCTTTTTTAGGAAACATTTTAACTAAGAAAACACTTTTGACATTTTTGTGCTTCTAGTCTTTCCAGTGTCTTGAACAAATTCTTATAAGAACTTCTTTATAGTTCCTTTTTTACTGGAAAGGTTTGAGTATAAAAGAATAGGAAGTACTCGTTAGATTTATCTTTTACTGTAGGACAAAAGACTGATCAGTTCAAGATTAAATATTTGTTATAACAAGTTTTTAAAATAATTACTAAGTATTTCTGTTTGGAAAACTCTAGAGTGAACAAATAGCAAAGGATTCTTAATCTGTTTTTCAGAAAGTAGTCACACAGATCCTTTTGCTCTGTGAATGTAACAACATGGAATTATAGAACCTTTTTAACTTTTCCAGCTCTAAAAAGTTTCTTAGAAGTATAAAACTGTCATAAAGGGTCATATTACTATTTTTACATTTATAATAGTAACATCTTTAGCAATAAAAGGTTATCTTTAGGGTTCCATAGCTTGAAATTTTTAAATCAGTCCTTTAAACAAACCAAAAATCCCTACAAAGCCTCAGTTTCGAGTTTGAATTTTTTCAGCTCTAATTACATTTTTAAATATTTTATGATCAAGGTTTCGTTTTTCATTAACCCTCATTCTTCATTTAGCTCCACCTTCAGGGCAAGCTTATAACTGTGGACAGAAAAAACCAGAGACTTCATCTGCAAGTGACACATCTGTCTGCTTTGCTAGCAGTGTTTTTAAGCATTATGTATATTGAACAGCAACTACAGCTTAATGCTCCCATGAGGTTTCCTGCTGACATTCTTCCTCATGGAGATAGTTACCCTTGTAACTGTCAGTCATATCTTACGTGGAAAACTACAAGCAATGTCTGATAGAAATTGTGGTGATACTAGGATGCTATCTTTTCATTTAACAATTCCTCAGAAACAGATACACATAGTATTGCAATGGAAACTGGAATTACTATGTACATTTGAATGGATAGTATGTAAAATATGTTTTATATAATGTTTTCTGAGAAAATGTTATGTATTTTAAAATATATATTTACTTTTAGTACATAGTATCACCAGAATTATAAAACATTAGCACTGGAAAGAACTTTGGAGATCATGAAAACAACTATTCTTTTCACTAATGAGGAAACCGAGGTTCAGAAATAGAAAGCAAAGTTGTGTAGGATATTATATTCTATACCTCCAACTATTAAACTTGCTAGTTTGAACAGTCCTTCCAACTACATAGTTTTTCAACTATAGTAACCATTAATATCATTTTTGCTTTAATATTTAAAAATTGGTTTGTTGTTGGCTGTCTTACAAAGTTGTTTTATGGTGTCAACATTTAAAAAAGAACATGCCACATATTAGCAGAAAGGTACAAATACCAAAGATTGAGTAATTGTTATTTAAATTATTTCACAAAACTGAGTTTCTGTTTATAAATTAAACCATTCCTTAGGGAAGTTTACAAAAATGCAACAGTTACCTTTTACTTTATCTTTCACTTTTCCATGTACCAGCATCTGCTTGTCCTGATGGTTCATCAGAATCTTATGATGATTTATGGGTATATTCTTTTTGGTTGTTCAAATTGTAAATTATATTAAAAGACACAGTATTTTAATAATTATTTTTATGTATGTGAATGAATTATAGATTCAATGATGATAAAATAATATTCTCTTTAGGGCAAATGACCCACTTCAAATACTTGTTTCAACTCATTCCCTTTATTTCCCCTACATTACCATTTTAAATGCTGATTTAACTAGTGCTCTGCCCAGCTTTGCCCCAACAAAAAGAAGGTGTTTAAACAACCACAAATTCAAGTTACCAGCATATTGTCTCACCCCTGACCCGATTACAGGTTTTAATTTTTGTAAACTCCCTGATATAAACATTACAATTAGTTGAGTTAATTTAAAATGGAATAAAAAGCATCTTATGTTTTCCTTACATTCAGCATGTAATTTTCTTTCTTTTTCAGCTTTTTAATTAAATGAAGCCAAGTGGGATTTGCATAAAGTGAATGTTTACCATGAAGATAAACTGTTCCTGACATTATTTTGAATTCTTAAGTTCATTACTTTGCTGATTGTGATTGCTAGCTTATTCTTTGTATACTTTTTTTTAGTGTGGGTTTTCCTAGTAAATTTAATTTATAGAAATGATGGTAACATTTAGTATCTACAAAGGAAATATTGAAGTGTTTTTCAAGCCTATATGATTCAATGTATGTCACAAGATTGAAATAAACGACATTGTAATTATGAATTCATGTTTTAGAACTGTTCACTCATTAGTCAAGGAAAACAGTGTTAGTAAAAGAAACCTATGAAACGTATGTTAAAGAATGCTTAGTGTTATACTGGGATAAAGCATATGCATGAAAATATGTCATGTACTGAAAACTATACTTATTGCAGTTTGTTATAAAGGACGTGCGCTGTTACAAATGGTGTTTTGTTCTTATTAATCATAACTAAATAAAGGAGTACGGGACAGGGAGCTGGATGAATGATACACACAATTTAGATGCCCAACCTAGGAATAAGAGCTTCTTCCTGAGATCTAAATCCAAAGCAAACTTATTCACTAAGTCAACATGCCTCACAGAAATCAGGCAATGGAAACAGCACACTACAACTAGGAATTAATATTTCTCTAACTTTAGAAGTGTCATCCAGGAATCCAGACTTAAAAGAGCAAGCCTAAGTGGCCACTATGGCCACTTTCCTTTTGTGTTTTATGCCTCAATGGCTCATTCTCTGAACCCAGATAAAAGGTTAGTAGTTATCCTTGGATGACTGAATCAATCAATGAAGCTTTCTTGGAAACCAAATATAGGGAGTTTAAACATTATGTTTGTATCCTATTTTAGTTTATAAGGCACTTTCACATATTTATTCCTCACACCATCTTTGTGAATTAGACAGGAAATGTAAATTTTTTCTGGTTTGTAAAAGTAATGGAAGTTGAAAGCTAAAAACAATAAAAAATAAAACTCATATCCAGGCTTTCATACTCTTAAACCTGAAATTTTATATTTGGTAGAACTACCTAAAGATGAATTTAACAAAGGGATTCTTTAGTTCAATATTTATTTTCTCTTTTTTAAGGCACATTATCTAATTATCATTAAGATCTGATTATTCAACCATGGAGCATTTTGTTCATTGGAAGTTTCAGCTACATAGTCTCAAAAGAGAACCGGGTGTACATTCACTGAGTTTACTTATTTTGTACCTATGAATTTCAATGAAGAACATGCCCTGGTGAGCTTTTATATCAAGTTATATCCCAGGGAAATATGTATGCTAGTAGGCTGAAAGCTATCTTTTCAAAACATGATAATTTCAGTGAGAATTACATTATAAATTAGATCTATATTAAGGTGATCACATACTCCAAAATCTATTATTAAAAGTAACATTAATTTCCCTAGTTCCTGTTCATAGATTAATAAACTTAGTATTGGAATGGCATTTATGGTAAAGCAATAGGTGAACATAATCATTTGTTCAATGCCTATCCTTAGGGGGCACTTGACCTGTAATTTTTAATCCACTGCATATTTTTTACATTCGCTGAAGTTTACTCAGAACTTGAGATTACAAATGGAGGTTGAGGCCAAATTTTAAAACAAATAAACATTATGATTACTTTTGTTTGTTACCTTAAACCTCAAAATTGTCCTCTACTTAATATGCAGTTGATTAAATGAGCTCTTTATAAAATTAATAATGCTTACTCATGATAAGGTCATTTTTAGACACTCTGAGATAAGGAGTTCTTTTATTCCTGTACAATATTAGTTTTCCAGGTGATATTTTCTAACTTCCTCTGAACATTTAAAGTAAGTCCAATCATTAAAAATATTTTTTCATAATTTCAGTTTAAAAGCTTGGGCTTCTCTATAGACATTTGTTCATAGGGAAGTGACTTGAAGGAAATAAACTACCTCAACATAATTCATTATTGACTGTAAAATGCTATAGGCAAAACTGCAAAGAGTGGCTCAAACATAGTTTGCTTATAGAGTATAGTATGTACAACATCACACACACAGTATATTTACCTTTGCTAAATAGAATTGGTATCTGATTTTATCCTCCAGGGACACTCTTCAATCAGATTCACTGTCTTGAAAACTCTTACAAAATTATGTTTAACAATCCTCTGTTCGAATTTTAAACCTTTTCTGCTAAGTTGGAGAGAAAAATCCAAACAAAATTTCATCTATAGGAGTTTCATTTTATAATAACATCTGATGAATAACTTACTGCATTCTGCTCAACATACTGTTCCTTCCATTAGATATTCCCATGAGTATGCCCAACAGTGTTTTTGTGCTTACTGTAATTTTCTTTTACACATTAAATAATATCCATTGTCAATTACAATTCAGCAGCCATGGTGATTTGGGGAGATTAGATCTTAATGTAACCACAGAGCTTGAATAATATTCTTTTCCTTGCTGTTACAAGAACCCCCCTAAGGGTACATGAAGGGAGTGGTTATCCTAAACACGGCATAACACATCATTATTTTCAACCAATGACATTAAACGTGTTTTATTAATAACTGATAACAGGTCGAACATAGACCATCAGCTAGACCATCTAGAGACAAAATATTTGAATAGCCTCTTGGAGACTTAATATTCCTCAGAGTCCACAGTCTCATCTAGGTTTAAAATATTAAAACAAAGTAATTTTTATACTCCAACCAAATGCTATACTGGGTCAGACCAGTAATATATCCATTGGTATTTTCTACTTTTCTTTTTTCTTGAGACACTCTCACTCTGTTGCCTGGGCTAGAGTGCCGTGGCATCAACCTAGCTTCTCACAGTAACCACAAACTCCTGGGCTCAAGCGATCCTCCTGCCTCAGCCTCCCAAGTAGCTGGGACTATAGGTACATGCCACCATGCCCGGCTAAATTTTTTCTATATTTTTAGTTGGTCAATTAGCTTCTTTCTATTTTGAGTAGAGACGGGGTCTCGCTCTTGCTCAGGCTGGTTTTGAACTCCTGATCTTGAGTGATCCGCCCCCCTCGGCCTCCCAGAGTGCTGGGATTACAGGCGTGAGCCACCAAGCCTGGCCTGGTGTTTTCTTCCAGTAGTGTAAAAAGTGTAGGCCATTGTAGCTAATCATACTACCTATAATGCTTAACTGCCTTTTATCTTAACCTTACCCCTCTTGCCTTCGCAGTCAGGAATAGCCTTGAAGAGGGCAGCCTGCATTCCTTATTTGGGTTCCTGGTTAAGGAGAGCGCAAAACAGACCATGTTCCCAAGAAATAGTGTCTGCTTTGACCTATCTAGGGGTTTCCCTTTGTTTCACCTAACTTAGAAGCCTTTCGGGGTAAAAAAGTAGCCATGCTGCTGGGCTTGGAGACTCACGCCTGTAATCCTAGCACTCTGGGAGGCTGAGGCGGGAGGATCACTCAAGGTCAGGAGTTCAAAACCAGCCTGAGCAAGAGCGAGACCCCGTCTCTACTAAAAATAGAAAGAAATTAGTCAACTAAAAATGTATAGAAAAAATTAGCCAGGCATGGTGGTGCATACCTGTAGTCCCAGCTACTCGGAAGGCTGAGGCGGTAGGATCTCTTGAGCCCAGGAGTTTGAGGTTGCTGTGAGCTAGGCTGACGCCACAGCACTCTGACCAGGGCAACAGAGTGAGACTCTGTCTCAAAAAAAAAAAAAAAAAAAAAGAGGGGGGGAGAGTAGAAGCAATGTGTAAAGTCAATACTTCTTGAACTTTCTTGTGCACAAAATGTGAGACTCTGTCTCAAAAAAAAAAAAAAAAAAAAAGCTATGCAGGGAATGATTTATTGAGAACACTGAAAGGTAAATGAATAAGCCACTGCTACCTGGGCAAAAGATTGCAGTTGAGACAAACAATGGATATATATATAGCTAATAGCTTTGGTGGAAAAGCTGGGGAGTGAGATGCTTTGGAGAATAAGGACTTTGAAAAGTTCTTACATATACCAGAGACTCTGGAAACCCACACACATACCCAGGGGATGATCCAGGCTCATAAGAGTCCTGAGAAGATTATAAACTTTGACTTTTTCTTGGTGTTTATACCCAGCCCAAACAGGAAGTAAAGGCTAATGCAGACTTGTACACAGCCTGGTTAACTGTTGAAGGAATGTCCCAATACAGAGCCTGTCTGCAAAGGTGTCGAGAGTATTTTTTTTCTTTGTCTCCAGGCATAAGATCTGTCAAACCACAAACTGACTACTAGAATGGAAACTTCACAGAACACATGACAAAGAATATAGCAAAAGTAGTTTGTAGAATAGTAAAGTCACTAAACAAACTACAACCAAGCAACTACACAAACAACTATAATCCACAACAAACAGCAACAATAAAATTTAGGGAGAGAACAGAATTTGATTTCCAGCGTTGCCACATTATCATATTCACAATATCCGGTTTACACTCCCCCCTCTCCAACAAAAGGATCATACAAAAAGACAAGAAAATATAGCTTATTCACAAGAAATAAATTAACAGAAACTGAAGAAACAGACACTGGACTTAGAGCAAGAGGAAACAATGAGCAAAGAACTAAAGGAAGTAAAGAGAATGTCATCTCACTAAAGGAGAAAGCTGATTATAAAAAGGAGTTAAATAATAATTCTGATGTTGAAAAAATATAATTATCAACAAATCTTACATTGAGTCAATAACAAAATACAATAGTAGTAATAATTGAAAAATACACTAGATAATCAAAAACAGGACAGAAAGAATGAAGCTAAATGAACAGGGACACTATCAAGCATACCAACTATGATTAATGAGAGCCCCAAAAGAGAAAAGGACAAGAGAATATTTGAAGAAATAATGTCCAGAAACTTACCAAATGTGAAGACAGACATGAATCTAATATCCAACAAACTCAAAAAACTCCAAGTAGTATAAATTCAGATCCCATCAAGATATATTACAATCAAACTGTCAAAAAATCGAGAGGCCAAGGCAGGAGAATCACTCAAGGTCAGGAGTTCAAAAGCAGCCTGGGCAAGAGTGAGACTCCATTCTGTGCTAACAATAAAAATAAATTAATTGGCCAACTAAAAATATATAGAAAATATTGCCGGGCATGGTGGCATGTGCCTGCAGTCCCAGCTACTCGGGAGGCTGAGGCAGGAGGATCGCTTGAGCCCAGGAGTTTGAGGTTTCTGTGAGCTAGGCTGATGCCATGGCACTCTAGCCCGGGCAACA